CAGATCAGGGGGAGACTCTTTTTCTTTATTATTATTTGTTTCCCCCAAAGCCTTTGGGGTTTCCCTGCCAGAGAAGAGGCAAGCTGCAGAAGAGCTGCCCCGCAGCACAACCTGCTGGCACCTCTCGGCCAAGGCAGGGCTGCTCCAAACACATCACCCAGCCCAGCAGCACGGAAAGACAAAGTCCAAGGATGTGAAAATACAAGCAAGTCGACCCAAAACGCTGCAGAGCAAAGCTCAGCTTCACCCACGATAACTAGTTATGCAAGAAAGGCCAAAAAGTGACGGCAGACTTCTAACCCTGAACTACTTTAGGTCTCCTAGCTGATAGGAATCATCACAGCTCCCGGCTTTGCCGTTGTTCAGTCCGGTTTCTTCTGGAAATGCACACACTTAGAAGCCCATACTTTCGAGCAAGATGAACATTTGCTTTCGAACCCAACACCAGCCAAGCGCAACAAAGGTGATTACCACGAGGCTGCGGGAAGGAGACAACTCGAGTTGCCCCAGTCAGGGGGGATGCTGCAATACTAACTCACCTTTTCTGCATTCCAGAGAACCCTCAGAAATGCTTCAGTAGGGCAGGGCTCAGGTTTCCTTTTTTTGATGCCAGAAATGAGCAGCCACTGGAGAAATCCAGAGAAACCAACTCCATGATAGCTCCGTTTCCAGAGCTCCCTGGGTGTTTTCCGAGCACATGCATTAACTGTTTTAAAGGCCATGCTCAAGAGTTCTGCATATGCTCCCCAACTCCCTGGATGCCACATGGCACGTCGCAAATGCAAATTTGCAGCCGAAAAGTCCTTAATTCCTATTATTCCTTTAAACATTTTAATATTCCATTATTTCCTTTCTTCTCTGCTGCCTAGAACAATATACTTGTAACACAGGCAACTAAATAAGAGGGAAGTGGCATTCAGAATTAATCTGATCTAAATTTAATTCCAGGATGTTCCTGTGTTTTATTGAGAAAGAGGCCATGCGACAGGTTGCAACCCAACGTGCGTCAGATCGGCTGCGCTTCACAGCAGCGGAATGTTGGTTTTGGCAGTCCCTTGGCAGATGTCTTCTAGATAACTTGGTAGGACCCCATTCATTGTTATATTGTGAATTCTGCAAGAAAACTTTCAAAGATGTGGCATTTCCTTGTCTAACATACTAGCTCTTAACTATTGCAACACTACAGCGTGACGTGTGGGAAGATTTGCCACCGGTTGCAGCCCCAAAAAAGCAAAACGAGCGAAGCAATTCCGGCTGGCCGGCTGTAGCCCAGCAGAAACAACGGGCTAGAGGGATAGAAACAACCCAGCGAACATTTGCTGCTGGTGACCTCCACCACAAAAAGAGCCAGAAGGGAAGAAATCCTAATTGCTTCAGACTTGCATATCAATCCACCGCTACAGAAGAGCCCTGCAGAGGACTGCGTGTGCAACCCACCTCCAGTCCCAACACTCTCCTTCAACGCTCACAAGCAGCTACACATGAAACAGAACCAGCAAAGCTGCCAGATCTTTACGACTGGGTTTCAACTTGCAAGGCAGAAAACACACCTCAGCTTTGAGAGACCAGGCTCCAGCCCAGTGTTGCCATTTTTTAATGTCTAAATGGAGCTAGTAGAAGATAAAACCATTGGGATGCGAAGAAAAACCTACTTGACATGTCTCTAGCTTTGAGTACCATTGCGATAGGGCAAGGTGTGATGGTTTTAAACTAAAAGAGGGTAGATTTAGTCTAGGTCTAAGGAAGAAATGTTTCACTGTGAGGGTGGTGAGACACCAGCACAGGCTGCCCAGAGAGGTGGCAGTTAACCCATCCCTGGAGACATCGGACAGGGCTCTGAGCAACGTGATCTAGCTGAGGATGTCCCTGCCCATGGCAGAGGGTTGGACTAGACGCCCTCTGAAGGTGCCTTCCAACCCAAACCATTCCATGACCCATGGTAAGCACGAAGATCTCTGCCTGAGGCAAGGCTCACTCGGGTGCTCAGCCTCACGCTGAAGAGCTCAGTTTCTGCTGAGAAAGTAACTCCCAGCTGGAAGTGCAGTAACTCAAATAAAGAACAAAAAAGACAGGTTGTGCCAGTGCCTGACGAGGAGCCCTGGATGTAAACACACCAGGGCTGTGGGAACTGCAACAAACTCCTGAGGAGTGCTCGCCTTCCTGTAAGGACCTGTTAAGAAGCCACAAAAGATTTTTATGGAGGTGGTTTCTTTTAGCCATGATGTAGCTGTAATTTTCACACAGCATCCATGAGAAACTCCCTAAGACTCATGCAAACAGAAATGTAACCCAATCCCAACTCTTGTAATTGTATCATACCCACTTAAATTATCCCCAGAGGGTTTTATTTGTTTTTAATAAACCAATCTTGCAAAGTACCTGTTTTTAGAAAAGAAAACCCTGTCACAGTTTCATTTAAGTCATGTCCCCTTCCCTTCCTGCTCCCTCCAAGAAATCGCAACAGGAGTCTAACCTCTCCTCAAAAAATAAATAGAATAAAACCCAGGAAAACTTCACAAGCTTCCACTCCACGAAATCCAACTTGGGGTCTATGAAGAGATCCACAGAGAAACAAGGCCACAGTTGGTACAAAATTCATCCAAAACCATCCTCATTTCCAGGAGAAGCAATTACAAGTCTGATGATCACAGTTTGCCTTTCTGGAAATGGCTCAGGCGACTTGAAAAAGATAAAATAGAATATAAAATACCACAGAGCAGTAGCAGCAACCACTTAGACAGGAGCGCACTTCCTAAGGCAGAAATTCATAAAGCACAAGGGATAAAGTACAAGGAAGAGTGCTACTGCCTGGATTCACCCTATCAAAATGCAAGCAGATGCCTAAAAGAGGAGAAAAAGCAGTGAGCTGGATCAGAGGTAACATCCTTCTTACTTGGGAGAGAGCAGCGAGGGAGGAGACAGCTCTTATCTTGCGTCTGGACCACGTACTTAAGTCTGTGGTTAATGACTCACCTGTAATTAAGGTGCAATCTGAGATGCCCACGTAAAGATAAGTCTCTGGACTTTGTGGTTGTAGAGCAGCGGCTGCCAGACGAGATGCCGATTAAAAATAATCTTAAAATACAGTGAAATTCAAAGGGCACGGGAATTTTGTGGCTCGCGTTTCAAGCCGTCTGAGGAGGGAGGCTCCCAACACCACCAACCCCGTCCTTTTACCCCGAGAGCTGCTCTAACTTACCGGCACACAGACGCAGTCCACGCGAAAGCACTGCAAAACGCACCCTGGCACTGACAACCAGGTCACCTCGCTGCCAAAGCCATCTCTTTCCTCTCCTCAACACGCTCCCTGAAATGTTGTCCCCAAAATCTATAAACAGGTAAGATTCAGGAAAGCGCCTCCCGCCTGTTTCCTTCAAACAACCCGTCGCCCCTGCTGTTCTTTGGGCCGTTTGCAACTGTTTTGACAGCCCTTTCAGCTCGGTGATGAGCAAGAGGTCTGTGAAGTAACCTCTCCCAGGATAAACAGCCAAAGAATCGCGATAAACAACCACACCAAACCCAAGAGCTCAAATTCTGAGGTTTGCCTCCGATTACATGCAAGCAGCACTCCAGAGCCAACTAAGTCGAAGCAAGAGACAAGCTATCAATCTGGTTTTAAAAAAACACCCAAACCAACCTTGCACCTTGAGCAGCATTTTGTTATCGGTGTGTACGTGTCAATTCAAGTAACGCGCACCAATCATTGAAGATGAAAATTGTTTTCTACTCGCTCTCTCAGCTGCAGATTTTAGGAGGTGAGCTGCAACTGCACAGGCAGTAAGGTTTCCAGATTACTAGCAGCTCTGAGCTGGTCCTAAGTGCAAAACAAAACCCCAAGACAGAGCCTGATTATTCGTGCATTAAATGTAATAAGCAGTGAAGGACACCTGGGAGACTGGCAGCAAACTGCTCTGAAATCACAGCAGACCATCAGCATCAGGACAAGGTGTAACAGTTTCAAACTGGAAAAGCATAGACTTAGATTAGAAATTAAGAAGACATTCTTCACTGTGAGGGTGGTGGGCACAGGTTGCCCAGAGCAGCTGTGGCCGCCCCTCCCTGGCAGTGCCCAAGGCCAGGCTGGACGGGGCTTGGAGCAACCTGGGCTGGCAGGAGGTGTCCCTGCCCAGGGCAGGGGGTGGAACGAGATAATTTTTAAGGTCACTTCAACTTAAACCATTCTACCACTCTGCGATCTTCTGTGACACGTCCATACTTCCCAGTGAGGTCTTCAAAGCCCCCATGCTCGGAACACTGAAGCAGAGCTCATGTGGTTACACCCCAAAAGCCCACCTGCTTCCTTCTGAAGGGGTGGGAACAGGAATGAAAAGAGAAATGCAACAAGCTGCGCCCTTCCAGGGCGCCGTTTATTAAGTGAATACAAAAATAAGATCATTTAAGTGCAGAGGCACAGTAATCCACTCCATGGTAGAAAGGTATGTCGGGTTAGCAGTAAACAGAGTTTACAACGCCTTGTAAACAGACCTCTTTACAAGCAAGAAGCATACTGGAACATGACATGTTGGGTTAGAAGGTCCCTGCTGCAGCAACGCTCCACGCTGCTCATCTGGCAAGCGCAGAGCACTTCACCAAAGGCGAGAGCACCCTCCGCTCTGTTCCCGGAGGAGCGTGCGCGGAACGAACGGAACACAAGGAGCTCGCGCTGTAAACAGCTGAAAAAGCGACATGGCACGTTCAGAGGAGGATGGCGTAACCCTGGTTAGGTTTGGCTCGCAATGAAAAATAATGGCCGAAGCTGTTGTGCATCACGAAAAAGATAAGTCATTTTTAAAACTTCTAATTTTTTAACGGCAAGCCGTTAAATAAAAAATATCTTTTCCCCCCCTTAATACAGTACATGGCATTTCTCCTCGATTGCACTAGAAGTAAATTTGGAAGCACTTTCAGTTTATGTTATAGGCAGACAGGAGAGAAAAACAAGTCAGGCAGGCTTTCCATCTCCTTTCCACCTCTCTGCCCGCTGTTTTGTCCCCACCCTTTCACACCTCCGAGTCCACATACATTCCGTTGATCAGGTAATCCACTTGTGTGTAATCCTTCTTCTTGTAGCTCTCGTAGGCCTGTGTCAAGAAAAGAACTATAACCGTGATGAAAAAAAACGTCCCAACTAAAAGCACTACAAGCAGGAAACTTCTATCCACCAAGTACTGAGTCAGGGGCTCCGCAGCAATGAGAAGATACTCGTCATCCGTCCCCTGAGTTTGTGCAGGGCTCGAAGCTGTTGTTTTGGGAGCATCTCCCGGAGCTTGGGTTGTTGAGAAAACGCGAGGCGTTGACTTCATCCCACGCCCAGTTGTAGTTTCTACTGTAGAGGCAGTAGTTAAAACCGTGGCGCCTCTCGTGGAGCCCAGAAGAGCAGTCGATTTGCTCACGGATGGTGTGGCCGTACTTGCTTCTGGCTCCTCGTGGTGTGACGTACCGCTGGGCAGTGGACTCGTGGAGCCCGAGCTCTCCAAGGGGCTGAGCATCGTGGCACGAGCGGAAGATGTTCCTCGGTTCTGCGGGATGAGGGTGGTCAGTGTGGTGTCCGGTGTCCCTGAGCCAGCTCCAATGGTGCGGGGGCTACTCAAGTCGGGAGCGCTGGTGGTGTTGAACTGCTGGTTTGGAGACGTTTGAGTATCTGCTTTAGAAACAACAGTGAGAGGAGCAAGAGTAGCAGTGGGGGACAACACTGAGATGGGGCTCCTATTTCGTGGTCCTTCAGCAGTGGTCACGAGCGCGGTGACACGGCTGGAAGTGGAAGGAGGGACATTACTGGAAGTGGAAGGAGGGACATTACTAGAAGTGGGAGAAGAAGCAGCGGTTGATATGGCTTCAGTAGGGAGAGCAGAACCTCCAGGGGCCTTTGAGGCTTTGGCAGTTGTTTTATAAGCTTTAGTGAGAACAATTGCATCTGCAGCGCTTGTCGTTACGGATGGGGCAGCGGTGGTGGTCACTGTGATGCTGGTCGCTCTGGCAGTGGCCGTGGTCGCTGTGATGGTGGTC